AATAGTTTAAAAATAAGGAATCTTGGATCTTAAGACTCTAAAAAGCAAATAAAAGCTAAAAGGATTAGGTATGGGACCAGCAGGTGGCACGGTGGCTAAGGTGAGGGACTCTCACCTACATGATCAACTGTAATTTGCATCTCAGACCTGGTGGCTTGTTTTCTTACTTTCCCTCTCTTTTTCTGTCTCTCCTCAGTGAGTCCATGAGCCCTACAGCAAATTTAAAAATAATAACAATAAGAAAAATGTCCAGGCACTGGGTTGAATTTTAAATTTGGGGACCAGCAGGTGGCGTGGTAGTTAAGGTGCTGGACACTCCCACATAGCCGACCATGGTTTGAGTCCCGGACCTGGTGGCTTGCTTTCTCACCTTCCCCTCTCTGTGTGTGTGTCTCTCTGGTCAAATTAAAAATAAATAAATAAATAAATAAGCAAGTGGAAAGTAAATAATTAAAAAAAATAATAATAATTTTATTTTTTAGCAGTTTTTGCCTTAAGGTTTGTGTGCTTGCCAAAGACAGACAGAGACAGTGAGAGGGAAAGGGAGAAATCACCCTCCGGGGGGATGACTATGCCGCAATCTCTTCTCCATTATTCTCCCGGGATCTTGGGCACGTGCACACATGTTCCTGGCTTGAGTTTCATGCCAGCAGGTCCGGGACTTTAACTGTGGTCATCCATGTGAGAGTTCAGCGACATAATTGCTACACCATCTGTTGGCCCGAATAAACAATTCTTCGAAAATAAAAGGGATTAGGTATGTGGCCAAGGTGGGACTGGGAGAAGATGTAGATTCATCCATTCATTTTCCTCATTCACTCAACAACTTATCAAGTGCCTACTACGTATCAGGCAATGGAGTAGAGAGTGGAAAAGACACAACTCTTCCAAAACTCATCTCTATGGCCACAACAACTTACAACAGAATAATCTTTAGAAGGGTGAATCTAAAATGTGTAAGGTATCTTTCTAAAAATAATTTTTAACCACCAGAGTGTGTGTGCACTCCAGAAAGTGAGAGAGAAAGGGAGAGACAGACAGACTGAAAGAGGGAGAAACATCCCCAAATGGGGCATGGTCACATCACAATCCTTTCTCTTCCATCTCTCCATCCTGCCAGGATTTGGGGCATGCACACGTACCTGGTGTGTCTTTCACCAGAGCCAGGACTCCAACCACAGTTGGCTACGTGCGACTTACTTCCCTTAACAGCTAGGCTACAGGACTGGCCTGGTATCGTTCCATTTACTATTTTATTGAATGTACAACAAAATCAAAATAAAACCCCAATTAGCTAGGCTGACTATGACTTGGAGATTCTCCTACCAATTGAACCTCTCAGTTGTTAACCTTGAGCAAGAGGGATAAGCCAGTTAGCTTGGTCCCAGACGCCTAGCATCCTCTTCGAGCCATCAGCAAGCACACAGCAGTACCACGGGGACAACTCCTGACTTCCGACTCCCTCTTTTTTCACCACCACATTGTAACTCTCAGCACAAGGTACCTTTTACAGGTTATATGGGAAAGACTCTCAGAACCTCTAAGAGATGCTCATTCTTTCCCATCTGTAGACATCTCCAAAAAATGAATGGAGAGGCCCAACCTTGCCTTGGTGCCCTCTCCTCCCCGAGACGTGTTCTTTCAGTACTTCACCAGCAGACATCGCTCCACGTATAGCTGAAGAATTTTTTTTTTTTTGAAAGAGAGGTTGTTATAGGGCACATGCACTCGCTGAACAAACGGAGAAAGACAGAGAGACAGAAAGTGAGAAATCACCTCCCAAGGGGGATTACCACAAATGCAATCCCTTTCTTCCACTCTCCTCTTGGGATCTTGGGCACGTATGCACAGGCACCTGGTGTGAGTTTTGAGCTGCCAGGTCTGGGACTCGAACCATGGTCAACTATGTGGGAGTCCAGTAATGTAACCACTGCGCCATCTCACCTGCTGGTCCCTAGTTAAGGCAATTCTGAAATGACGCCATGTTGCCATTTACCCTTATTCTTTACCACAGAATCTTTCCACACTTGAAGTAGGCTTGAGTGCAACTGCTTAGAACACCAACCATATTTATACCTCGGTCTTAACTTTTCAATGCTCTATCTTCCCAGAACCACCCAGAACAAGTACTATAATCACTAATCCCAGTGACTCATTTATTTTTGTCCATATAATTTGTCTCTCAGAAATTGAAATTGGTTGTCCTTTTATATTTTACATGTCCTTGAAAGACTTAGAAGTTTCTACTGAAAGATTTTCTAAACCTGTAAAATGCTTGATATAAACATTAAAATCACAGCCAGAAATAAGCATTTTAGGTTTCTTTCCAAGGTGGTATTATATCACAGATCAGAGCTATAAGAAATGGGGTACCTCCTCTTCTGACATGTTTTGGAGTTGGGTAAACCTGTCGTTAACTCAGTGACTGAGTGCTAAGATAAGTCTATGACTCAACACGACCCTACTGAGTAAGGTCCAGACCCCACAATCTCATACTCAAAGACATTTTCCAGTCTGTCTCTAACATGCCTTTCCAGTCTTACTACCTGTACTTCCCCAAATGAACCAGAGCTCTCCCTACTGGTCGACTCTGTACTGAGAGACCTATGGTCTCTTCAACATGAGTGTCAATGACCCGTTATCCCCCCAGCTGAACAGTTTCTACCTGGCCAGCATCTGGCCATCTCCCAGTGCCTAATTCACTGCTGCCTCCTCCATTATTTTCTTCGCGCAGGTAAACGCTCCCTGGTTTCAGGTGGCTTTTAAAGACGCACAGAACATCAGAAGAGTGCGAGTCAGCATCCCCTAACTGCCCTGCCTGTCCTAATTGTTACAAGGGAAAGTGAACTTTCCTCCTAGCCCTATCACAGTTGGTTTCTGGTTTTTTGTTTGTTTGTTTGTTTGGAGAGGGTTTTACTATAGGGCAGGGTGCATGCACTTACCAGAAAGAGAGACAGGGAGATAGAAAGCAAGAAATCACCCCCAAGGGGGATGGCCACACCACAATCCCTTCTCCTCCGTTCTCCTCTCAGGATCTTGGTCATGCACATACATGCGCCCGACCTCGGTTTAAGCCACCAGGTCTGGGACTTGAACCGCGGTGGACTACATGGGAATACAGTGACATACCCATTATGCCATCTGCTGGTCCCAATTTATTTTTTAATTTAACTTTATTTATTTGTTTTAATTGGACCAGAGAAGGACAGAGTGGGAGAGAGAGAGAGAAAGAAAGTGAGAAAGCAAGCTGCCAAGTCAGGTACTCAAACTGTGGTTAGCCATGTGGAAGTCCTGTGGGTTAGCCATGTGGAAGTCTAACACCCTTAACCACCATGCCACTGCTGGCCCCCCTCATCCGATTTTTAAATCTTTCTTCAGAGCTTGATTTTTTCCTCTCTTTCTTTTTTTAAATAATTTATTATTAATCTTTAATTTGCTATAGGGCATGTGGGCTAACCAGAGAGAGAAAGTGAGAAAGCAAGCCTCCAGGTCTGGGACTTGAACCGTGGTTGGCCATTAGGGAATCAAGCACCCCAAACCACCACACTGACTGCTGGCTCCCTCCCAGTCACATTTGATAGAGCCCATGAAATGAGAACTATCAACAGGTCCAGCCAATGATGAACCAAGACAACCTAGAATCAAAAACTGGAATCAGCAGATGGTGTAATGGTTACATCACTGGACTCACACGAAGCCAAGTCCTAGACCCAGTGACTTAAAACTCACACCAGGCACGTGTGCCTGAGAGAGAATGGAGGGGAAGAGACTGTGATGTGGTCATCCCCCCAGGGCAGGAGGGAGGGATTTCTAGCTTTTTGTCTGTCTCTCCAATGAGCGCACGTGTGCCCCATAGCAAAAATCTCTTTAAAAAAAAAAAAAAAAATAGGACCGACAGTTGGTATAATGGCTATGTCACTGGACTCCCATGTAGTCGATTGCAGTTTGAGTTCCGGACCTGGTGGCTTAAACTCATGCCAGGCACGTGTGCATGCACACCCAAGATTGCAAGAGGAGAAGGGACTGTGGTGTGGTCATCCCTCCTAGGGGGCGATTTCTCGCTTTCTGTCTGTTTTTCTGGCAAGCACACGCACCCTATAGTAAAAACCTCTCAAGAAAAAGATGCGCACAGATGTGGAAGTAGATTGCAGTTCTATGAGGGTAGAGACTCTTTAGCTGCTTTAGCCATCACTGTGGTCCCAAGACTAAGCAATGATTTTTTTTTTTTTGGGGGGGGGATGTTCATTTTGGCTACAGAGCAAGTATCCTCACCAGGAAGAGACAGAGAGAGTGGGAAGGTGAGAAATCACCCCCAGGGGTTGACAATCCTTTCTTTCTCCCATCATCTCTTGGGATCTTGGGTATGCACACACAAATGCCTGGAGTAATTTTTTTTCAAGCCGCTGTGTCCAGGACTTGAACTGCACAGCCAATCATGTGCAGCTTAACCTCCATGCCACCTGCTGGACCAGCACAGACATTTTAAAATGTTGAAGTTAGAAGACACAGATGTGAGTTTGATCACTGCCACTTCCAAGTTAGGTAACCGAAAGCAGGCAAGTCGTTCTCAAGGCTACTACCATAACTGGTGAAAGACAGCAAAGTCAGAAAACTATTGAAACTACCAATAAATACCTTACTTGCTTATCTTATCGTTTACTAATTGCTTTCACAGACACTGTCTTGTTTAATCATCAAACCCCCAGCCGAAGAGAAGGCCTCTCTCCTCATGGAATGGCAGACTTTGAAACAGAGCCCTAGACTTTGACTTCCAATCATAGACCCAGACCCAGACCCAGACCCAGACGAGCTGATTTCAGCTATCTAAGCTTTAAATTGCCCTAAGCCTCCTTTTGATTGACCACTAACCATTCAGAGATTTTCAGATTACCTTTTTCCACTTACAGTAATCTTGGGTTTAACTTGGCTAAGGATAAAAAAAAAAAAAAAAGGGATCAAGCAAAATGCTATTATTGTTTTTCCAAAATTAATTTGCTTACCTGACAACTTTTCCTAAAAAACATCATTGGGTATGTGGCTTTTGCTTCATAGCTGACATTTCAGTGTCTTGATAAACATAAGCTCTGCAAGGCCTGGGCCACCCTTGGAAACATTCTCTAACCCAAAGAGTGTCTCAAAGAGCCTCAACCCGAAGAGACGAGAGGGAAAAGGGGCCCTTACCAGCACGGAATTCTGAGCGAGCAACCAATCAAAGTACAGGAATCTTTGAGAATCTTCAGTTTGTTCATAAAGGTCATAAATACTAACTTGATACGGAACTAAAGGTTCAATTATATACTAACTTGATATTGTCTTTCCACCAAATTATTGATGACTAGCATTAAAGCCCGCAGCAGAGACTCATTTCTCAAACCTCAAAATCCCAGCTTGCATTGATTTTTATCTATAAACAGTATACAGGGACTATATTTATCATCAAGGATCCACCACAACCCAGCATAACCATGAAAGAAGACAAAGTGAAACGAGACGACATCTACTTGGACCACCAATCGTTCACCATAAAGCAGTCAGTTCTGAACCTGCGTTTCTTTCATTTCAACAACACAGTCTAGATTTTGATCACCTGCTAGGGGAACAGCACGTGAATGCAGCTGTCACCTCCAATTCGAGGCATTCATTCTGCTTGCTCAATATTAGTTTTAGGCCATTGATTGTCATGAATCCACTTTGGATTTTAAAACTGTGATCCGTGGAGGGAACCAGCAGTTAGCGTTGGCTATGTCGCTGGACTCCCACGTAGTCGACCGCGGTTCGCGTCCTGGACCCAGTGGCTTAAAACTCACGCCAGGCGCGTGTGCATGTGTGCCCAAGATCCCGAGAGGAGAATGGAGGAGAAGGGATTGCGGCGTGACCATCCCCCCTGGGGGGTGATTTCTCGCTTTCTGTCTCTATGTCTCTCTCTGTCTGTCTGGTGAGCGCACGCGCCCTATAGCAAAAACCTATCCAAAAAAAGAAAAAAAAATTGTGATCCGCAGAGACAGATTTATTTACTCTTCTATTCGCGAACTGTAGAGGTCCCCATGTGGGTATTCATCACAGGGAGGAAGGTTTAGACAGGCAGACCTTGGTCCACGGCATCCTTAACATGACTGATTCTTCCACACATATGTACCGATGCCTTAAAATTAAATGTCATCCAGGACCAGCAAACGGCCTCCTATCTCATGTGATCATATGGAGCAGCCAAGTTTCCAGCAAGTGAAATCACAGGACCTTTTGAAAACCAGTAAACCAGCATAAAGGTGATTTCTCGCTTTCTGTCTCTATGTCTCTCTCTGTCTGTCTGGTGAGCGCACGCGCCCTATAGCAAAAACCTATCCAAAAAAAAAAAAAAAAAATTGTGATCCGCAGAGACAGATTTATTTACTCTTCTATTCGCGAACTGTAGAGGTCCCCATGTGGGTATTCATCACAGGGAGGAAGGTTTAGACAGGCAGACCTTGGTCCACGGCATCCTTAACATGACTGATTCTTCCACACATATGTACCGATGCCTTAAAATTAAATGTCATCCAGGACCAGCAAACGGCCTCCTATCTCATGTGATCATATGGAGCAGCCAAGTTTCCAGCAAGTGAAATCACAGGACCTTTTGAAAACCAGTAAACCAGCATAAAGGCCTTTCTTTCTCCCTCGCTTTCACAATCAGGGAGATGACCACAGTGAAGTGTCGACGTGGAACCAGATGATAGGAGTTTTTGAATGTTGAGACGAGTTGTGGGTTGAGGCCAGAAGCCACAGGCTCGCTCTTTGATATCCAGAACGAGGCCCTGGGAACATGCAGAATTGCTCAGGGGACAGTAAAGCAGACTCAGGAAATGCTAAGCACTCAGCACAGGGAGGGAAGGATACTCTCAAATGGGTTCCATTTTCAGACTCTCCCAGGAGTAAGCTCCTTACATCCGTAATTAGGTTCGTCAAGAGGAGGAAGAAGAGCCTATTTTCTCACAGCCAATTTGGTAGAACATTCTTCTGAGCAAATCTGCCCATCAAGCCTCTAAATTATCTGTCACTGACCTGGGGTTGTGCCTGAGGTGTCCATGCCTCCCTCCTATCCAGTCCATGCAGATTTCAGAGCTTCCTAATCTTGAGAACATGCTCAGATCTGTAGTCTCTCTGGGGGCTTGTGACCATGGCTCAAAGGCCTGGCCTGAGAGCAGGGTCAGAACCCACAGATGTTCTAGGAGCTTCCAACAGTGGATCCTGACACCCCAAGGGGAAAAAAACCCTTATAAACCCGGTCACCTAGAGTTCTTAGGCTTCTATTCAAGGTGAGTTCGCTGCTTCCCACTCCAGAGGCACCTCCTGGTTCACCACAAACTCATCCTCCCCTGAACCCAGCTGCACTCCAAAAACATGTGGGGCAAAACACAGTTTTAATGGTGTAACGCGGAAAAAACACTGCTGTCTCCAGCAATGTTCCAAGGGTAAAGGAGAATTTTAAAAACCAGGAAGACTCATCACTGTAACTATGTTTCTCAGATTAAAGTCAAATTCATAGAATGTTGGACATTTCAACAGCTAAAACCTGAGGACTCTGTAAGCATCTGTGAGAGTTACCCCACAAACACAGCTTGCATTTTGCTAAGATCTTTGATTAAATGATATGAGCGCTCAGTACCTGAAGTCAGGCAGGCCTACAGTCAAATCTCAACTCAGCCATCTGTCAGCTGTGCGACTGTAGATAAATGACTTGACCTCTTTAAGCCTCAGCTTTCTCATCTACAAAAATGAGAAGAATAATTGTACGTAACTAATGATTGTATCTAAACTAAGATGGTTTGTAAAGGTTAAATAACACAGTGCTTATATAATGTTTGGTAGTGACTGGTCTGTGGAAAGCCTTCTGGTACATTCATACTAAGTTACTATTGGGTCTTCAGGAAACTCATGATGCATTTTTACATAGAAAAATCCATTATGACTTTCCCAACAACCTAATAGTACTATTTTACTTATGGCCATGGTAAAGTTTAGAATATTTGGGCATTCAGGCCAGCCCATGGCTAGATCCCACATGACCAACGATGTGTGGTTAGAGTCCCAGACCTGATGGCTTGAAAATACACACCAGGGGGACCAGCAGTGGGTGTAATGGCTCAGTCACTGGACTCCCACGTAGTCAGTCGACTGCAGTTCGAGTCCCAGACCCAGTGGCTTAAACTCACGCCATGCACGTTTGCATGTGTGCCCAAGGTCCCAAGAGGAGAATGAAGGAGAAGGAACTGCCATGTGGCCATCTGCCCTGGGAGGCGATTTCTCACTTTCTATCTCTCTGTCTCTGTCTTTCTGGCGAGCACATATAGCAAAAACGTCTCCAAAAAAAAAAAGAAAGAAAAAGAAAAAATACACACCAGTAAAGTGTGAATGCATGTGTGTGCCCAAAATCCCAAAAGAGAGAGAAATGGAGAAGGGACCACACCATGACCATGTCCCATGGTGGGGGTGGGTTGCTTTCTTTCTCTCTGTCTCTGGTGAGCTCATGTGCCCTCTGACAAAATTAAAAATATATATATTTGAGCACTTTTTTTTGGAGAGGTTTTTGCTATAGGATGCATGCACTCACCTGAAAGACTGAGAAAGACAGAGACAGAAAGCGAGAAATCACCCCCCAGGGGGGATGGCTACACTGGAATCTCTTCTCCTCCATTTTCCTCTTGGGATCTTGGGCACACACGCACACGTGCCCAGCATGAGTTTAAGCCACCGGGTCTGGGATTCAAACATGGTTGATTACATGAGAGTCCAGTGACATATCCATTATGCCAACAGCTGGTCCTGATATTTGAGCCCTTTTTAAAGTGTATGAAACATTAACTTCAATATGTTATCTGATTTTGCATTTGTCTAATCCATTTTCACTAATGTCATGACAAAAAAAAAAAGTAATCCTTCTGTAACTAGGCCAACCCTTCTCTTCCTTCCTGCTAACCATCTCTCAGGCTCCATCTCTCCTCCATCCAACAACTCCCTCACTTCTATGTGCAGCTCAATGGAAAGGCAGTGTTTTGATTTGCAAAGCAGCTTTCTGAAATACCTGTTCTAAGTAAACAAATATTTCAAACCACTTTCAATTGGGTTTTTGGATTCAGAAGCCCAGCGTCTCACCTGCAGAACCTCAGAACAAATAAATCTCTTTCCCCTTGGGGAAAAAAAAATGTCTGATCACAATTCTCTACCTTTCAACCTTACCCTCACAGTCCTGGGAGCTATGGTATGGATGCATCCTCCCAGGTCCATCTGCTGGAAACAATTCCCAGTGTTAAGAAGTGGGACTTTTATTAAGGGGTGATTAGGTCATGAAGGCAAAGTCCTCTAGAATGGATTAATGCCTTTATCAGGAGAACAGGTTCTTTTTTTTTTTTTTTTTTTGGAGAGGTTTTTGCTATAGGGACCGTGCGCTTGCCAGACAGCCAGAGACAGGGA